AGATCCAACGTTTTCCCATACAGGAATGCCCTGATCAAATTGATTCTATGGCAATGTTTATGTGTTAATATACTTCCTCCCATCACTGAATTATTTGAAGCACAGAAATCCATAATTGCTCATTTTCATTCCAAACACTGACCTGTATGTACCCATAGTTTACTTTTTATCAGGGTGTTTTTTGCTTCTGGTTGTCACCTTGAAGCCCTCCCCACCCTTTGCTGTTAGAACATTTCTCACTGGCATTTTGCTCATAGCTGACTGCAATTCATGCTTTCATGTACTTTTAAACAATGCTAATGAGAGCATTACGTAGACCTATGCTCACTTTCTAAACTTTCCAATTTAACTCTGCCCTGATGATGATGCAGATGCCAGCTCCCAGTCCATAAGCAACGGTGATGCTGTATTTGAGAGCACCAGGCTCCAATTGACAGATCATCTTAATTCTCTGTGTCAGAGTGGAATATATTCCATCCTTTAGCTCTAAAAGAGGTTGTTCCCAAGTGTGTTCTACCTGATTTCACTAAGCCCCCAAATTTTCAGACAGAATCTTTCTATTTCCCTGCTTACCTGGGCACACTTCCCAGCTTGGTATATGGTTCTCGTGTTCCATATTCTGATTTTTGTCTGTGTGTTTGGAAAGAAAAAAAAAGAACTTCATGAGCTAATATCCTGCATCATCAAAGCTCTCCTGAGTGCATCCACATTCAATACATCATACAAATGACTGATACTTGTTTTAATTTCCATAATCATTAAAAAATCCAGCCAACACCAAGTACTTTTGAAACTTCCACCCTATGAGCAGAAACAGAGACTCAGTTGTTAACTTGGCAGGACTTAAGTCTCAACAAACATTAGCATCCAGGACCGTGATACAAACAACCAAAGCACTATACCAGACTCAGAGCAACAGCAAGCACAGCCTGCTGGAAAGTGCAAACCCCCACCCCTCCATATTCACTGGTTTGCTCTAAGTTCCAATTGATGAACATCACAGAGTGCCTTGCAAATCAGACAGCTGTATAACTGCCCCTCACCAAATCCAGAATGTTGTAATTCTGCACTGTGGAGGTTCAATAACAGGTATCAGTTACATTTTTGGTTTAGTAACATTTGGCAATACTTTAAATGTATTATGTTTGTTATATAAGTTTTATGTGGTCATGTTAACCAAAAACAGTTTGAGTCCAAGTGTTTTCTCTGAAAAAAAAAGTCTTCATAACAAATATAAGTGAATTAAAGGGTATTTTTTGTGTAATGCAAGAATGAGGAAACATAACAGGAACTCACCAAAGGTCTAAGACAGAGTAAGAGACAAACACAGAGAAGCTAATCACCAGCTAAGATTTCTCATTTACCTTCCAAACTTGTAAAGCAACCGGGGTAAAGACTGGTGGGAATTTTAAGTAGAGATAAACAAAGACTCTTGAGAGCTCTAAAGAGAACTAAGGAAAGTCTCAAGATTATGGGAATCAGAACACCAAGCTGTGTCATGTTCTGATTTCACATACTGGGATTAAGGCCCTGCCTCAGCAAAACAGTTAAACAGGTGTAAAGCTCCACTAATATCAAGAGGATTTAAGCATAAAATTAAAATTAAGCATATGATCCTGTGCTTTGAAGATTCTAAGACATGGTTTCGTCCTAAAATTTAGGATTGTTGTTAAAACTATATTGCTATTAGAACTATATACTTTATGATAGGCCTACCATTGACTTCTCTTAAGGGCAGCTGATTATTTATGTTTGTTCAAAGTACAGGATGTTTACAAATAATTAAGCCTGTAGTTACAAATGCTTAAAAACTCATTTCCAACTATTGTACACTCATTACAATTATACAAACAATTCATTCCTGTATAAAAGCCTGCTATTAACAGACATGTGATGAATCTGTGCCATGTGAAATTTATGTCACAATGGAAACAAACTGAAATTCATAAGGCTCGCTGAAAACCTAAAAAGAATGGACTTTGTAATATTTATGATAAAAATAAAGCAGAGGTACTTTCTACTTCACAATATAAATATCTCTTTCATACTTCTTAATGTTTTATTTCAGCTTCCTGAAAGAGTGAAAGCCATGCCAGGGGTCCCGCAATGACCTGAGCTAATTCCCTCAGCACTCTGGGGTGGAGATCGTCCAGACCAGCTGATTTAAATACATCCAGTCCCTCCAAAAGTTCCCTGGCTAGATCCCCACTGACCCTTGGCTTAGGTGTGCCTCCCCTGGGGCCTCAGGGGGACCCAGTGGCAGGGCTGATCCAGTCCCTGCTCAGGAAAATGGAGGCAAAGAAGTCATTAAATAGGTTAGTTTTCTCGTCTGGTGTGACGACCAGATTTCCTAGCACGTCTTGCAGAGGTCCCACATTACCCGGTACCTTCTTTTTGCCCCCTATGTATTTAAAAAAGGACTTCTTGTTGTCCTTGATCTGGGTAGCTAGTCCCAGTTCCATCTCCGCCTTGGCCTTCCTGACTGCCCCCCTGCATCCCTGAGCAATCCCAGTAAAGTCCTCCCTGGTGATGGCCCCTCCCTTCTATTGGGTGTATGCCTCCCTTTTAGC